GAACCCGCCACCTTAGGTGTACATGGCTGGCGCCTTAGCCGGTTGAGCTATAGGCGCTGAGCCATCAATTTGTAATCTTTATGGTTCATTACATAGTTGCAATAATTTTCATTTTAGAAGGAAAGAAACTGCTGGTCAGAAAGGTTAAGTAAAGTAACTTCCTTAAGATCACCTGGCTAGGAGGTGATAGGGCCAGGATTTAAAACTAATCAATTTAATTTCCAGAGCCCAAATATTGAGTGATGCAAAAATGCTTTCTACTTAATCTATAAAATATAAGAATTCCATTTTAAAAGACCTTAAATTGGTGTTTAGTAAAGTGTATTTATTTTTTTCTCCGTGGAGTGTATCATTTAGTATTTATTTATTTTTTGAGACAGAGTCTTACTCTGGCACCTTGAATAGAATGACAGTGGCATCATAGCTCACAGCAGTCTCAAGCTATTGGGCTGAAGTGATCCTCTTGCCTCAGTTTTTCTGTTATTAGTAGAGACAGGGTCTGGCTATGCTCAGTCTGGTCTTGAACTCCTGAGCTCAAGCTATCTACCTTCCTGGGCCTCTCAGAGTGGTAGAATTCCAGGTGTGAGCCACTGCGCGGGGGGCCCAGGCCTCCCATAATGGCAGGATCACAGATGTGAGCCTCAGCACACACCGCTACTTAGTATTCACTACAGCTGTGTCAGCTGCTTTGTTAGGGTGTGCTTAAAGTACAATGCAAATGTTTTAAAACATTACTCCATTTCTTAAAAAATTGTTGATGACACAAGAAAAGACTAATAATTAGTAAATCTTTGAGATCTTAGAGACTTAAAAGACTTATAGATAATAAAAGAAAAATACCTAAATTGGGCTACATCAAAATTTTTAACTTCTGGGCATCAATGGAAATAATCAACAGAGTGAAAAGGCAACCCACAAAATGGGAGAAAATATTTGCAAACCCTTTATCTGATTGGGGGCTAATATCCAAAATATATAAAGAACTCAAGAACAAAAAAAAACCCAGTTAAAAATGGGCAAAGCAAGTAGCACCTGTGGCTCAGTGAGTAGGGGGCCAGCCCTATATACCAAGAGTGGCAGGTTCAAACCCAGCCCCAGCCAAACTGCAACAAAAAATAGCCAGGTGTTGTGGCAGGTGCCTGTGGTCCCAGCTACTCAGGAGGCTGAGGCAAGTGAATCGCCTAAGCCTAAGAGCCGGAAGTTGCTGTGAGCTGTGACGTCACAGACTCTACCAAGGGTGACAAAGTGAGACTCTGTCTTTAAAAAGAAAATAAAAATAAAAATGGGCAAAGGATGCCAGGCACAGTGGCTCACACCTATAATTCCAGTACTCAGGTAGGCTAGGCAGGAGGATTGCTTGAGCTCAGAAATTCAAGACCAGCCTGAACCAGAGGGAAAACCATCTCTAAAAATAGCCAGGTGTCAGCCCCAGCCAAACTGCAACAACCAAAAAATAGCTGGGTGTACTGGTGGGTGCCTATAGTCCCAGCTACTCTAGAGGCTGAGGCAGGAGAATCGCCTAAGCCCAGGAACTAGAGGTTGCTGTGAGCTGTGTGACGCCACAGCACTCTACTGAGGGCCATTAAAGTGAAACCCTAGGGCAGCGCCTGTGGCTCAAAGGAGTAGGGCGCCGGCCCCATATGCCGAAGGTGGTAGGTTCAAACCCAGCCCTGGCCAAAAACTGAAAAAGAAAAAAGAAACCTTACATATAAAATAAATAAAGTGAAACTCTGTTTCTACCCAAAAAAAAAGAAAAATAATAGCTGGGTGTTGTGGCAGGTGCCTGTAGTCCCAGCTACGTGGGAGACGGAGGCAAGAGAATCACTTGCGCCCAAGAGTTCAAGGTTGCTGTGGGCTGTGATGCCCCAGCATTCTATCAAGGGAACAAAATGAGACTCTGTCTCAAAAAAATAATAATTGTTAGTTAAAAATGGACAAAGGAATTGAATAGTCACTTCAGAGAAGATATACACATGGTCAGTAAGCACAAGAAAATATAGTTAACATCACTCATCATTAGGGAAATATAAATAAATCAAACTATAGTGAAACCACTTATGCCCATTAGGATGGCTACTATTTTTAAAAAGGCAGAAAATAAGTGTTGACAATGATTTAGAGAAATTGAAACCCTTGTGCACTATTGGTGGGAATATAAAACAATGCAGTCAGCCAGACATGGTGGCTCATACCTGTAATTCCAGCACTTGGGATGCTGCAGCAGGGGAGGACCACTCGGAGCCAGGAATGTGAGATCAACCTGAGCAACATAGCTAAAAAATGGAAATAAGATGGGGCAGTTGCTGTGGAAAACAGTATGGCAGTCCCTCAAAAAACTAAAAATGGAATTGCCATATGATCAACAGTTCCACCTCTGGGCACATACCCAATAGAACGGAAAGCCAGCGTCTCAGAGACATGCTCGTACTCCGTGTTCATAGCGTTACTCGTAGTAGACACGAGGTGGAAGCAGGCCCAGTGTCTGCAGATAGGGGTGGAGAAACAAAGCGGGGTGTGTGCACACAGTGGCCTGGTAGCCCAAAGGGAGGACGTTCCGACGTGCTGTGACACAGACGCACCTTGAGGACATCCTACTAAGTAAAATAAGCCTGTTACTAAGGATAGATACTGTTTGATTCTGCTCACGTGAGATATTTAGAGTATCTGAACCTATAGAGACAGAAAGTAGAGTGATGGGTACCAGGGGTTAGGGTAAGCAGGGGATGGGGAATGAATGTTTAGAATTTCAGTTTTACAACATGAAAAGAGATGATGGTAGCAAAGCAATGTGAATATACCCACTGCTGTTGAACAAACTGTACTTTAAATGATGAAGATGATAAATGTTATGTTACGTGTACTTTACCAGTTAAATTTTTTTAAAAAATAGAGCAGTGCATATAAAAGACTTACAGCTACATTTTTAAATTTTCAAACAATTACCTGGAAGTATACTGCTTGACTCTTCCTGTTCCTTTTCTCTTTAATGTGTTCTAGCGTCCATGAGTATGTTTTCTGATTTCCTGCAGTCTTTTTTGAAGCATTCTTCAACTACAGTTTTTGATCTTGTGGAAGAATATGAAAACATTTGTGCTAGTCAGGTGAGCTAATTTCGCTCCATCATTGGTCAAACTTCAGTACTGTTAGTTTTTCTGAACAGCATTAACCAGCTAATTTCCATACTACCTCCGCCCAAGTTTTAGAGGAAGAGTGGGGAGTGGAGGGGAAGCCAGCCAGGCAGAGCATCCCTGCAGGTTACATACTGAGAGTCCCTACAAGATTTCTTTGGGAGATTGGAAGGATTCTGCTGCTTTTTAAAAAAGGAAAATCCAAAACATATAAAACTCATAGCAGTAAGAAAGTAAATTAAAAAGTGGTCAAGAGATGAAACTCGACACCTCACCAAAGAGGCTACACAGATGGCAAATAAGCACATGAAAAGGGGCCTTGCATCCCTGTCATTAGGGAATTACAAATCAGAACAGTGAGACACTGGGCCGCTCCTGTGGCTCAGTGGGTAGGGTGCGGGCCTCATTTACTGAGGGCAGTGGGTTCAAATCTAGCCCTGGCCAAACTGCAGCAAAAAAATAGCCAGGCATTGTAGTGGGCACCTGTAGTCCCAGCTACTTGGGAGGCTGAGGCAAGAGAATCACCTAAGCCCAAGAGCTGGAGGTTGCTGTGAGCTGTGATGCTCCAGCACTCTACTGAGGAGGGGGACAGAGTGAGACTCTGTAAAAAAAAAGGAACAACAAGACACTACTACATATCTATTAAAATAGTGAAACTTCATAAAGGCTTGGAATCAACCAAGATGTCCATCCATAGGTGAACGAATAAACAGACTGGTACATCCAGGCAGTGAAACATTACTCAGTGCTGAAAAGAAACGGGCGATGAAGCCTTGAAGAGACACAGAGGGGCCTTGAGTGCACATTGCTCAGTGAAAGAAGCTGAGTTCACCCTCAGGACGCTGACTGCAAAAAATGGGCAGTACCTGAGATTCCACCTTATCACATTCTGGAAAAGGCCAGCTGTGGAGACAGAAGATCAGTGGTTGCCAAGAGTTAGTGGGGAGGGAGGGTGAGCAGGCAGAACACAGGATGTGGGGGGCAGTGGGACTGCTCTGTGTGATCCTGTGAGGGTGGGCACAGGTCGTACATTTGTCCAAACCCATGGAATGTGCATCAGAACCCTAATATGAGGCACAGACCTTGGATGATAATGGTGTGTCCGTGTGAGGTCACAGTTGTGATGGATGGACCGCTCTGGTGTGAGAGATTGATAGTGGAGGAGGTGTGGTTTGTGGGGATAGTGTAGGCACTCTGCTTCCTTTTCCATTTTGCTGTGAACCTAAAACTCCAAAAAACAAAGTGAAAAAAATAAGCCTGTTTTAGAAGGAGAAATGACTTCAAGAAACTATCATTCAAGGATAATTGAGATACAGGAATAGACATCTTTTGTAGCATTTAATATTTTCAGTACCTGGTTTTTAAATTGTTCCATTATAAAAGTAGTAGCTTCATTAACTAACAAAAGCCACCATCACTTAGTGGATCACCAGAGGCAGGACTCCAATTCAGAATTTAATAAATGAATGAGAAGTAGAGCTAACACTTCTATTAAATGTTGATCTTAAGATACTGTTAACATTACTTTGTGAATTCTTTCTTTCTTTCTTTTTTTTTTTTTTTTT